GGTGCCTCTTGTGGTAGGTGTCCATGGCGGGGTAGATGGTGAGGGCACAGTGCCTGTGGCAGGGACATGTGTCGATGATGGAGAAGGGCCTGTTGGCCTTGCTGTAGAGATGGTCTCGGGTTGTGTTGGGGTGATCACTCTGTGAGAAGTGGGAGTGACAGAGGAGGTGGCAGAGTTTGGAACGTGAGTGGATTGAGTGGTCTTGGATGGAGATGCGGTTGGGAAGGTGGTGGTGGTCCGGAATGATGTTCCTGTGGGCGGACCTGTAATGTGGGAGGTGGTGGACACGGAACCAGTGGGGGCGGAGTGAGAAGTGAAGGGAGTGTGTGGCCTGTTGGGTGTGGCTGTGGCGGTGTGTGTCCCCGGGCTCCCGGTGACTCTACTGGTGGTCTTGGGGGAGATGGTGGTGTGTGGAGCAGCTGTGGTGCCAGAGTGGGCAGGTGCGGAGGGGTGTGACACCAGGGAGGTGGAGGTTTTGGCTGTGCTGACAGAGTGAGGGGCTTGGGTGGTTCCTCTTGTGGTGGGAGTCCATGGCGGGGTGGAAGGTGAGGGCACAGTGCCTGTGGCAGGGACATGAGTCGATGACGGAGAGGAGCCTGTTGGCCTTGCTGTAGAGATGGAAGGAGAGTGGGTCTCGGGTTGTGTTGGGGTGATCACTCTGTGAGAAGTGCGAGTGACAGAGGAGGTGGCAGAGTTTGGAACGTGAGGGGATTGAGTGGTCTTGGATGGAGATGCGGTTGGGAAGGTGGTGGTGGTCCGGAATGATGTTCCTGTGGGCGGACCTGTAATGTGGGAGGTGGTGGACACGGAACCAGTGGGGGCGGAGTGAGAAGTGAAGGGAGTGTGTGGCCTGTTGGGTGTGGCTGTGGCGGTGTGTGTCCCCGGGCTCCCGGTGCCTCTACTGGTGGTCTTGGGGGAGATGGTGGTGCGTGGAGCAGCTGTGGTGCCAGAGTGGGCAGGTGCGGAGGGGTGTGACACCAGGGAGGTGGAGGTTTTGGCTGTGCTGACAGAGTGAGGGGCTTGGGTGGTTCCTCTTGTGGTAGGTGTCCATGGCGGGGTGTAAGGTGAGGGCACAGTGCCTGTGGCAGGGACATGAGTCGATGACGGAGAGGAGCCTGTTGGCCTTGCTGTAGAGATGGAAGGAGAGTGGGTCTCGGGTTGTGTTGGGGTGATCACTCTGTGAGAAGTGGGAGTGACAGAGGAGGTGGCAGAGTTTGGAACGTGAGTGGATTGAGTGGTCTTGGATGGAGATGCGGTTGGGAAGGTGGTGGTGGTCCGGAATGATGTTCCTGTGGGCGGACCTGTAATGTGGGAGGTGGTGGACACGGAACCTGTGTGTGGGGAGTGAGTAGTGAATGGAGTGTGTGGCCCGTTGGGAGTAGCCGAGGCCATGGCGGTGTGTGTCCCCGGGCTCCCGGTGCCTCTACTGGTGGTCTTGGGGGAGATGGTGGTGCGTGGAGCAG